ATAATTCCTATAGTTCTGAATTTTAATTGAAAGCTATCAGTATGAATTCATAAGGTATTTTATCTTTGAATATATACACATATTTCCTAGCTCTGTCCACTTAAAAGACCCAGAAACAATGACCCATCAAGCAGCCATGGACATCCCAAGCTCCAGTGTCATTTCCAGTAAAAGAATCCAGGACTTCTTCTTAAAGTCTGGGGCAAGAAATGTACAAGATAAGCCTGGAACATCCTGTCATACCAGAGAATAAGAAAAGGGTCGTGTCAAAAAACAACTCAGGAATCAACTTGAAGAGGCTCCCACTGGCGAAAGACGGGATAATTTTAATTTCAATAGGGATAATAACTATAAGAGACTGAAACACATCAACTATGCTTTAATTCATTAAAAAAAATATATTTACTAGTCATCTTTGGAGGCAACAGGGAACCAGCTCGTATCTTGAAAACTGGTGACAAAGGAAAAGAACTGAGCATTTATCTTGCCATTCCTAAAGGAACTATATTACTGGGTAACCAAATAGTAGGTGAGAAGCATATGGAATCAGCAAAATGAGACTGGGAGAATCTTCAGAAGTTAACAGTTCGGTTTTCCAGCAGATAAGTAATAAGGAAAAGAAAGGGATGGAGGAGGATCCTGTAATTTAACAAAAGACATCAAATTTTTCTTAATGGGCAAGATTAGAGTAAGTAGGTATGCATACTTCGGAGATAAAACTATAAAGAAACGCAAGAAAGTGATCAGTATAGAAGTCAAAATAGTGGTTACTTTTGAGAGGAGGGAGTTGTGATTTGGACACAGCACAGGGATGGACATCTGAGATGGCTGGCAAAGTACTATTTCTTGACCTTTGTGGGGCTACATGGGTGTTAGACATATAATATTTCACTAAGCTCTACATTTGTTTTGTGTGGTTTTCTGTACTTGTGTTTTGTTTTACAATAAATAGGTTAAAATATTAAGGAAACAATCTAGATGCCCATCAACGGACGAATGGACAAACAAATTATGGTATATTCACACAATGGAATACTACGCAATGATAAAAAACAACGATGAATCCACGAAACATAACACAGATGAATCTGGAAGGCATTATGCTGAGCGAAATTAGTCAGTCGTAAAAGGACAAATATTGTGTAAGACCACTATTATAGGAACTCAAGAAAAGGTTTACACACAGAAGAAAACTTTGATGGTTACGAGGGTGGGGAGGGAGGGAGAGGGGTATTTACTAACTAGATAATAGACAAGAATTATCTCAGGTGAAAGGAAGGACAGTGCACACTACAGGGGAAGTCAGCAGAACTGGACTAAACCAAAAGCTAAGACGTTTCCTGAATACAACCAAATACTTCAAGGGACAGAGTAGCAGGGGCGGGGGTCTGGGGACCATGGTTTCAGGGGACATCTAGGTCAACTGGCATAACAAAGTTTATTAAGAAAATGTTCTGCATCCCACTTTGGTGAGTGGCGTCTGGGGCCTTAAAAGCTAGCGAGTGGCCATCTAAGATGCATCAATTGGTCCCAACCCACCCAGAGCAAAGGAGAATGAAGAACACCAAAGACACAAGGAAAATATCAGCCCAAGAGACAGAAAGGGCCACATACACCAGAGACTCCATCAGCCTGAGACCAGAAGAACTAGATGTTGCCTAGCTACCACCAATGACCACCCTGACAGGGACACAACAGAGAGTCCCTGATGGAGCAGGAGAAAAGTGTGGTGCAGAACTCAAATTCTACTAAAAAGACCAGACACAATGGGCTGAGACTGGAGGGACCCCATAAGACATGGCCCCCAGACTCTCTGTTAGCCCTAAATTAAAACCATTCCCAGAGGCAACTCTTCAGACAAAGATTAGACTGGACTGTAAGACATAAAATGAAACTCGTGAAGTTTGCTTCTTAGCTCAAGTAGATACATGAAACTAAATGGACACCTCCTGTCTGGAGGCGAGATGAGAAGGCAGAGAGGGTCAGGAGCTGGTTGAATGGACACGGGAAATCTGGGGTGGAAAGGAGGAGTGTGCTGTCACAGGATAGGGAGAGCAACTAGGGTCACATAACAATGTGTGTATAAATTTTTGTATGAGAAACTAACTTGAACTGTAAATTTTCACTTAAAGCACAATTAAAAAAAAAAGGTTAAAATATTAAATAAATAAATAAGCTTTATGGGATCTCCACTGCCCACAGAACAAAATTCACGTCACTAAACATAGAATTCAAAGCCTTTCACAGTCTGGTCCCAAATTATATTTCAACGCCACCTTCCCATTATCATGCCCTCTGTTCATATACCTTATCTACCACCACTCCCCAGAAACCCTGATCAATGAACTACTCTCCAAACAAGTCAAGCTCCTTCATGCCTGTTTTGTCAACTGTACAGTTCTCTTTTGCTGATTCTTAAAATTCTATTCATCCTTCAAAGTCAAGCTCAGAAGCTGCTTCCTCCAAACAGTCAATATTATGTTCCTTTCCGTGGGATTCCACAGCAAGCTCCTATCGTCTCTATCACAGAACCTATCTCACTGTGCCTTGCATTGCTCACCTGGGACAGTAGAAAGAAGAGAATCAGACAGACATGAATTTCAACTCCACATTCAATCACTCAGAGAACAATATTTACTGAGAGCCTACTATGTGTAGCAAGTACTGGGCTAGGCCGTAGGGATTCCACAGTAAACAAGTTAACCCAGCCCTACCCTCATGGAATTTACAGTCTAATGGGAAATACAGACAAGTGAATGTACAATTACAATACAGAGTGAAAAGTGCTTCCAACAGGAAGTACAAAGAATAAGCCTCTAACATATCTTTAACCTTGGCAGGAGGGTGGTCGAGATGGCTTCTCTGCAGGGGAAAAAAAAAACCAAACTCACTGCCACTGAGTCGATTCCAACTCATAGCAACCCTATAGGACACAGCAGAAAGTGATATTTTAAGCTGAGACTTGTAAGGGTAAAAGTTAGCCATAATTCAAGGTCCATTCCATTCTAGTGCTGACTAGCTGACTAGTTACTTCACTTCTCTGAGCCTCAGATTCCTCATCTGTCAAATGGGGAACAAACCATCAATCCCCTGAATTCCTGGGAAGACTAAGTAAAATATAAGGTGCCTGGCTCAAAGGTGCTGAACAGATGTTCAAACCCTTCATTACTATTTGCCCTTTAAGCCCTCCAAGATAGTCACATCTAATTTATCTCTGTATCCCTCACAGCATCTTGCACATAAGAGCGGCTTAATTGAAGTTGTCAAATAAATAAATGACTCTAAAAGGTATGACAGTCTCCTAAGCTAGGATCACTCACCTGAGGATGTTAATACATCCATTGCCATTTGTCAGGAAGAACATGTTATTGTCATTATTCCAGGAGATTTCATTGACCTCAAATTTGAACTGCTCTTCTGCTTTGGAACGGTGTGTCTTGGCATCAATGAAGGTCACCACATCATCCTTGTTGCCTACAGCAATGGTCTGCCCATCGGGACTCCAGCAGATATTAATGTTCTCCCCTGGGAACCCAGACACAATCAGCAAGATAACTTGTCTGCCCATAATTCTCCAGGAATTTATTTTGCTCTCCTAGAAAAAAGGCCAAACCATGAATGGGAACTATCACTTAAGGATCACCAACTGAGTCCAGCCAATTCGTCTACAAATTTCCCTTCATTTGGTCCTCACAATAATTTTCTAAGGTATACTTTATCATTCCCATTTTACAGATGAAAAGTAGAAGAGAAAATAACCAAAATGTCACAGCTATGAAATGACAGAGCCAAGATCTGAACCCAGGTCTAACCCCAAAGCCCCTTTTTCTCTTACGCCAACATTTGCCAAATTTCAGTCATTCACATCTACCTTCACAGTGTTTGTCCTATGTATGTAACAGCTAGACTTTATTCAATATTTGTCTTAAAATTGTCTCAAAAATATTTTTACTTATATTAAGTTTAGCTTCACCTTAAACAATAAGTTCTGTAAGTCAGTTTTTTTTTCTAGTAGACATTAAAATACAAACATAACTTTTTTTTAAGTTTCAGCCACATACCACCTGAATCACTCATGTACCACCAGTCATATACTTCCAGAAAGCACTATACCAGTCCATCTCCCAGTACAAGGCTTGTTAACAGTAACCCACACAGAATTCATCAATTAAAAATTTCATCAACTTCATCGATTCCAAGATGCATATTTCTTCACATTTTAATATCAAGATCCATCTCAAAACCCATGGTGTATCATGGTTATCTGGCAACTTTATTTTCTTTCTTAATGGCACATAAAATATTGGTACATCTTAGAATCAAAGACATCTCTGAGTCAATGAAATACAGTAAGTGGCTCAAGGTTCCCAGGATAGTGCTTGTGAGGAACAGAGCCTATTAATGCACTGTGCAACTTTCTGGTCATTTCCTCCCAGACCACCAAGACGATCCAAGTTTCAGCCATTCTAAACTATCAGCAGTTTCCCAAATTCTCCATGCCTTTGCGAATGTTGTTCCTTCACCCACTACACCCTGACCATTAAATTCCTACCATTACTCTAAGAGTCTGCTCAAGATCTGAACGGCCTTCCCTGTCTCCCCCTGGGCAGACTTAAGCATTTCCATTCTGGGTAGCCACCTGGTAGACGTCTCCAATATAGGATGAACCATGTCATATTACGTTAGCTTTTCTACATGTCTCTCTTGCCGCAGTAAACCGTAAGGTCTCTAGAGCTGAAGACTGTGCCTTATTCAGCTCATGATACCCTACATCTAGCACAGAGCCACGCACTGAACAGATGTTCAGTTAAGTACTTACTGAATGAACAGAAGTAGCTTAACTTCCTAATGCCCCCTATGAATAGTCACCTTTCGTGTTCACAGTGGCAATGCATTTTGTAGTCCTCACATCCCAGATGCGAATGGTTTTGTCTCCAGACGCAGTGACAAAGAGGTCAGGATTACTCGGATGCCAACAAAGCTGGTCCACACTATCCCCATGTCCCCGATAATTGTTTTCTTTGACCTGAAAGGGCAGAATTCAGATGTCACTTCACACAGATGTACCTGCCTCCACCTGTAACTTCCTAGTCTTATTCAACCCCTGGTATCTGACGACCAAAAAAGATCTGGATAATCAACAAGAATCCAGTCCTTCTAAGACCTTTGTCTAAAACTCACTGGACTATCCCCCTACCCTCGTCCCCAATCACTAAACTGTTCTGAAGCTGGGTTCCACATGAACTCCCTTACCCTTTTGTGGTTCCTGGCCTTCCTCCTTCTTCCTAGTTTTCCACCATGATTCTATCACCAAGGCCCACAAACTACCTGTTCATTCCCACAGGATGCACTCCTCCTCACCACCACAGGGACACCCCTTCTCTACTAAGCTGCCCCAGTCACTCCTCATCACCACACAACTCCTTCCCAACATTCCGCCACATCCCCTCCTGACCTCCACTCCCCCTCCATCCCTACCACACTCCCTCCATTCTCCTCACCACTACACCCCCTCCTCATCTCCACACCCCCTTCGTGCCTCTCTCCTTTCTTTTTCTCCTCCTCACCCCCCATCCTCCTCCTAGCCGTCAGTCTTCACCCCTCTCTCACCACAGCCCCTCTCCCGGGCCTGGGCCCAGCCCTGGTTAGCTCACCAACCGGTCCTTCTCCAGCAAGAAGACGCTCGCCGTCTTGTCGAAGGAGCCAGAAGCCAGGCGGCGCCCGTCGCAGCTCCAAGCCACCGAGTGCACTTTGGCGCTGTGCGCCGGGAACTCGCGGGTCTTGCTGTGGCCCCGGAAAAGCTCCTGCATCCCTAGCACGTAGCGCGACGGGCCGCTGGTCACTGAGCACCAGGGGGCCATAGAGCCGGGACCACTCTGGCCCAATGCTGAGGCCCCCAAAGCCGCAGCGGGGACCGCCATGCCGAGTTTCCGGACGACGACGACGCCACACCCCCGCCGTCTTACAGCAATCAGTCCTGCCGCCGCCGCCACCGCGCGCGTGCGCACCAAAGAGTGCCCGCCTCCTGCGCAGCCTCGCTGTACACTTATTACGAAAGGACTACAAATCCCGGCATGCCGCACTGGCCCGCCTTTGCCCTTTCAAATAGTAATGATTCCTTCTTCAACTTCCCTTACAATATTCCGAGGTTTTTAGGTGTCTTTTTGTTCCCCTAAAGATTGTTCCCCGTGAAGATTGTTGTTGTGTGCTGCTGATCTAGTCTGACTCACAGCAACCCTGTATGACAGAGTAGAACTGCCCCATGGGGTTTCCTACATTGAAATCTTTACGGGAGCAGATTGCCAGGTCTTTTCTTCTGCAGAGCCGCTGGTGACTACCAACCGCTGACCTTTTGGTTAGCGGCCAAGCGCTTTAACCATTGCGCCTAGGAAACCCTATGGGGCAGTTCTATCATATAGGGTCGCTGTGAGTTGGAATGGACTGGTCGGCACTCAATAACGATTGTTCCCTTACCTACTCCTTGGTAGGCATATTTTTATCCATTTTTAATAAAGGAAGTGAATCAGTTACCCCTCTAAATTTCCATTTTCCCATCAGTAAAATACTTTTATTCTAGGGTTGCCACCCACCTACCCACTCCTTTCTGGATGGAAAAGGACTAGCTGCTAAACTTGTCCTGGGAAAACGGCTAGGGTTTATCGGGGAGGGGGAGAGATTCTGAGGAGGGGTCTGGAGATTAGTCTAAAAATAAATCCTTTGTTTTTAAAAGATACTGCATGCACACGCTACCACTTTTCTGTCAGTTTATCATGCTGTGGTGGCTTGCGTGTTGCTGTGATGCTGGAAGCTATGCCACTGGTATTTCAAACACTAGTAGGGTCACCCATGGTGAACAGGTTTCAGCAGAGCTTCCAGACTAAGACAGACTAGCAAGACGACCTGGTGGTCTACTTCTGAAAAAATTGACCAGTGAAAACCTTATGAATAACAGTCAAACATTGTCTGATATAGCATGGAAGATGAGCCCCTCAGATTGGAAGGCACTCAAAATACAATTGGGGAAGAGCTGCCTCCTCAATGCAGAGTCGACCTTAAGGACGTGATGGAGTCAAGCTTTCGGGACCTACATTTCCTGAGGTTGGATGACTCAAAATGAGAAGAAACAGCTGTAAACATCCATTAATAATCGGAACTTGCAATGTAAGAAGTATGAATCTAGGAAAATTGGAAGTCGTCATAAAATGAAATGGAACACAGAAAGATCAATATCCTAGGCATTAGTGAGCTGAAATGGACTGGTGTTTGCCATTTAGAATGATACGGTCTACTGTGCCAGGAAGGAGAAATTGAAGAGGAATGGCGTCACATTCATCGTCAAAAAGAACACTTCAAGATCTATCCTGAAGTACAACTCTGTCAGTAATAGGATAATATCCATACCCCTCTGTCCTATAGGGTCGCTGTGAGTCAGAATTGACTGACCACAATGGGTTGGGTTTTTTGGGTTTTTTTTTTTATAAGGAACATCACTTAATACAACTATTATTTAAATTTATGCACCAACCACTAATTCCAAAGATAAGGAAATTGAAGATTTTTACCAACTTCTGCAGTCTGAAATTGATCAAACATGCGATCAAGATGCATTGATAATTACTGGTGATTGGAATGCAAAAGCTGGAAACAAAGAAGATAGTTGGAAAATATGGCCTCGGTGATAGAAATGACTTCAGAGATTGCATCATAGAATTTTGCAACACCAGCAACTTATTCAGGGTAAATACCTTTTTTCACCAACATAAACGGCAACTATCCTCATGGACCTCTCCAGATGGAAAACAAAGGAATCAAATCGACTACATCTGTGGAAAGAGAAGATAGAAAAGCTCAATTTCATCAGTCAGAACAAGGCCAGGGGGCAACTGCAAAACAAACCATCAGTTGCTCATATGCAAGTTCAAGTTGAAAATCAAGAAAATTAAAACGAGTCCATGAGAACCAAAACATGACCTTGAGTATATCCCACCTGAATTTAGAGACCATCTCAAGAATAGATTTGAAGCATTGAACACTAATGACCGAAGACCAGACGAGTTGTGGGATTGACAAAAGGGCCATCATACATGAAGAAAGCAAAGAGTCATTTAAAAGAAAGAAAAGACTAAAATAGATGTCAGAAGAGACTCTGAAACTTGCTCTTGAACATAGAGTAGCTAAAGTGAAAGGAAGAGGAGGAAATGATGAAGTAAAAGAGCAGAACAGAAGATTTCAAAGGTTGGCTCAAGAAAACAAAGTAAAGTATTATAATGAAATGTACAAAGACATGGAGTTATAAAATCAAAAGTGAAGAACACGCTCGATGTTTCTCAAACTGAAAGAACTGAAGAAAAAATTCAAGCCTTGAGTTGCAATACTGAAGGATTCTACGGGGAAAATATTGAACAACACAGGAAGCATCAAAAGAAGATGGAAGGAATACACGGAATCACTGTACCAAAAAGAATTGGTCGACATTCAACCATTGCAACAGGTAGCAGATGATCAAGAACTGATGGTATTGAAGGAAGAAGTCCAGCTGCACTGAAGGCATTGAAAAAAACAAGGCTTCAGGAATTGACAGAATATCAATTGAGATGTTTCAACAAATGGATGCAGCACTGGAGGTGCTCACTCGTCTATGCCAAGAAATTTGGAAGACAGCTACCTGGCCAGCCCACTGGAAGAGGTCCATATTTGTGCCCATTCCAAAGAAAGGTGATCCAACAGAATGCAGATATTATTGAACAATACCATTAATATCATAGACAAGTAAAATTTTGCTGAAGATAATTCAAAAACGGTTGCAGCAGTACATTGACAGGGAATTGCCAAAAATTCAAGCTAGATTCTGAAGAGGATATGGAAGGAAGATATCATTGCTGATGTCAGCTGGATTTTGGCTGAAAGCAGAGAATCCCAGAAAGATGTTTGCCTGTGTTTTATTGACTATGCAAAGGCATTCGACTGTGTGGATCATAACAAATTATGGATAACATTGGAAGGAATGGAAATTCCAGAACATTTAATTGTGCTCATGGGGAACTTGTACATAAACCAAGAGGCAGTCATTCAAACAGAACAAGGGGATACCTCATGGTTTAAAATCAGGAAAGGTGTGCATCAGGGCTGTATCCTTTCACCATACTTATTCAATCTGTATGCTGAACAAATAATCCAAAAAGCTGCACTATATGAAGATGAACGGGGCATCAGGATTGGAGAAAGCCTCATTAACAACCTGAGATATGTGGATCACACAACCTTGGTTCCTGAAAGCAAAGTGTACTTGAAGCACTTACTGATGAAGATCAAAGACTACAGCCTTCAGCATGGATTACACCTCAACATAAAGAAAAATAAAATCCTCACAACTGGACCAATAAGTAACACCACGGTAAAGGGAGAAAATATTGAAATTGTCACGGATTTCATTTTACTTGGATCCACAATCAATGCCTGTGAAAGCAGCAGTTAAGAAATGAAAGCACATATTGCATTGGGCAAATCTGCTACAAAAGACCTCTTTAAAGTGTTAAAAAGCAAAGATGTTACTCTGAGGACCAGCCTAGCCAATATATTTTCAATCATCTCACATGCATACAAAAGCTGGACAATGGATAAGGAAGACCAAAGAAGAATTGATGCCTTTGAATTATGGTGTTGGGGAAGAATATTAAATATACCATAGACTGCCAGAAGAACGAACAAATCTGTCTTGGAAGAAGTATAGCCAGAGTTCTCCTTGGAAGTGAGGATGGCGAGATTTCGTCTCAAGTACTTTGGGTATGTTATCAGGAGGGATCAGTCCTTGGAGAAGGACATCATGCTTGGTAAGGTAGAGGGTCAGTGAAAAAGAGGAAGACCCTCAATGAGATGGATTGACACAGTGGCTGCAATAATGGGCTCGATAATAGCAGCAATTGTGAGGATGGTGCAATAATGGGCTCGATAATAGCAGCAATTGTGAGGATGGCGCAGGATCAGGCAGTGTTTCATTCTGTTGTACATAGTGTCCCCATCAGTTGGAATTGACTGGACAGCACCTAACAAAAACATGCACATGATTATTAATGCAAAAAATATATAAAAGTGTATAGAGTTCTGGTGCAGTGAATTATTTAATATGGCCCTTCTAGCCACAGTCTTTGATTCCCACACAATAATTGGGTGGAACTATGCAAATAAGGTGTATGGAACCTGCGATTGCTAAGGTTATGTGTCAGCTTGGCTGGGTCATGATTTTCAGTGGTTTGGCAGTTATGTAATGATGTTGTCAGCTTCCATTTTGTGATCTGGCGTGATTATCCTCCATTTTGTGATGTGTTGTTAATCCTAGCCTGTATGCCTGTGGTTATGGTTCCATTTGGGAGTGAGTTGTCTGATACACTAATGAGGCAGGATTAGGGTGTGATGTATCTTGAGTCACTGCTTTACTAGAGGGTGTGATTCAAGTCACCACCTTACCCCAGTCACCACCCTTACCACCCTTATTCAAGTCATAGCCTTACTTGAGTCACATCTTTTATTTTCCAAGAGATAAAAAGAGAGAAAAGCAAGCAGAAGGGGACAGGGACCCACCATCACCAAGAAAAGCTAGGAGTGGAGTGTGTCCTTTGGACCCAGGATCCCTGTGCTGAGAACTTCCTATACCCAAGAGACAGAGAGCTGTAACACTGGAGACGGTACAAGACAGCAAGAAGTGGTGGCAATCGCTGCAGAGAACTGGCAACAGCAGAACCAACGAGAGACGGTGCAGTGGGCTTCCTGGCACATGGAGTGAACCAGCCACAGTGGGTGTGCCAACACATAGAGCAAGAGAGCTGAGTGCCTTCGGGCAGGAGGCTTCCTAGCAGAGTGGGGTGCCTCTGGGAACTTGTCAGCAGAGCTAGCGTTGCTACTCACTGAGAGCTGAGTGCCTTCGGGCCGAGGTTTACTGGTGGAGTTCCCCTGGCCCTTATTGGTGGAGCTAAAGATATTTGTAACACTTGCCTGAGCGCAGCAAAGGCCAGGCCAAGGGGCCCAGGGGCCAAGAACCAGAGGCTTGTCTGCAGGCACAGCTGAGAAGAGGCTATCCTGATCGAAGAAGTCATTTCTGATCCTAAATTGTAAACTGCTATTTCCCTAAAAAACCCTATAATTGCGAGTATTGTCTGTTGAGT